AATGTCACTTATTCTGTAAGTCTACTCACAGTATTTATCGATGTCACTTATTCTGTAACTATGATTCGGTATAAAGGAAGTTCTGAATCATCTAACTGTGAACGAGTTAAGAAGCTGTGCTTCATTTACATATAACACGTTTTCAAGTATGCGCAATGAACATGTTTTTCTCTCATGTAAAGATTCTTGTATTGAGGTTCGATACGTTGCTTTAATAAAAGACATTACAAAAATAATATAATTTGAATTTAATTCTACACATTAGAGAGTCAATTATACGATCATGATCCACCGTACAGTCTAATCAAAGAAACAGTTGTAATCACACGACAAATAACTTATGGTGTGCTAGCCCTTCAGTGGTGGGCAGAGCACAGATAGCCCGTTGTGTAGCATTGTGCCTAACTTCAAACAAATAAATTACTCCTCTATAAATTTGTAATTAATGTTAAACTCGGGACATCATATAGGTGTGATGAAATAGGACATTATATAATTTAGCTAAAACAAATTTGTCTGTACCTCCAAAATATACCTAATCTTTACTTATTTCATCAGTCTCGAAGTAATTCTTTAATCACAACATTTTTAGTAAAAAACTACGTACAAAAATGAAATGTTATCATATATCACTCTTGAGTCGTTTCACTGTATTCTAGGTCAGGAAGTAGAAAACATAGTGCGGACATTCGGACCCAAATTTTCAACTCTTTCGACTGTACAAAGGATAAAAGATATTTGGTAGTAATAAACGTTTATTTTTCTTTATATTTTAAGGCCGAGTATATAAAACATGTGGTAAAATACCGAAAGAATATTTATTAATTAACATTTATTCACCACTTTAAAATTTTTAAACACTGACTCTATAACGTTAATAATTGTACTAGTAGGCCTATTTGTAGTCTAATTTAAGAATTAGGCCTAATACATAAATGTAACGTAAAGCTTAGCTAAAACACTATTTGGTAAATTTTATTTTGCTTCTGGCTGCAACTCAATGTCACAAATCTTCTGAATTAAACTATTTCGCTGATATGTCACCTAAGTTATAAAAAAAATAAAGAATAAAAACTTTCTAACAAACCAACATGAATATTGAGCATTCAACATAAACATAGTTGGCCTAAGAACAATCAGGTAATAGTTTAGTTGCCAAATAACGATGCATATTGTTGAGCATTAGCAAAAAAGGAGGTGAAAGTGTTCTCGACAGAGTGACAAAAGAAATAAACCTTTTATGGTTGGTGATGATAGGTAAGAGTCAAAAACAATATCTTCTAAATACCAATGTGTCAACTTTGTTACATGTGATAAATGTACAATGGAATTTAATACCAATATATATTAAATTATAAATAAAAAGTATAAAACTAAATCCATGAAAAATAAGGCACTGCGTAGCCTATGTATTACTTGGTCCAAGTTTACATATTCTTCAATATTTAACATCGGCGTTGGGCTTCAAGCCAATATAATATAAGATGAGCCTACACATTTGACACCCTACAACATGACTAAGTCATTAATTCCTCTACCAATAGGCTCCATCTTGTTGATGTCATAAAAAGGCGAGATTGATATGGCTAATCACAAATAAGATCCAGTAGTTTTGTCTTGTGTGTATAGGCTTAATTGCTTCATGCACACAGAAATATTAATAATGTATATGTGTGTGTGTATATAAACACAGAACTTTAGGAATGGTGAATATTTTGTTTTTATGGTAAATGTTTATGTATTTGCTTGTTCTGAACATAGTATCAGATCTTATCAGTAATGTAGCTGTGTGTAAGATATAATTTCAGTCTATTGTGCAATCATTTCACTGTTAAGTGACTCACTAGGAGCCCTCTTACCAAGACTGTTTGATATTAGGCTCATTTCGCTGTGGACTGATTAACGAGCGATCTTTCATCATGCTTCAGTACTTCTCTAGGAATGGAATCACCACACATGTATGACCGATCGCTCCATGAAGTTGAGGACCTTAAGTTTAACAGGGATATTGGTAATATAGTGAGCCCTGGGAACAAAGATTCTTCCCAGACTGAACTGAGTTCTCCCGAATTTTCTTTTAATTTGCAGGATTTTATAAGTGCGAATACTTTACAAAACAACTCGTTTGATAAGCTCATTGACAGTGCCAAATCCACCCCGACCACAGCCTTTAATCAGGTCCACCGACCCGTGGAGCTGTCTTCCGCTGTGTCCTTCACGGGAATGCCACGGCAGCTCTCTTTCGAGAACGAGCATTATGGGATTGAGCCTACCATCGATGTGAAACAAGAATCTGGTGATTTGAGAAATTATCTTAACCTAGGTGCTCTTGGTGCTTCTAATCAGTATTCCGTGAGCACTGGAACTAGGACTGTGAGTGAATCCTCCACTAGGTCGAGATCCGAGGCCGCCCCTGTATTAGATAGCTTCGACGAGACTGTTCTCAGGCAAAGATTGGTTGAAGGTATGCACCACAATCTTGAAGGTTGTTCCAGT